ATACCCAGAAAGACTCAGAAAGTCATCGAGAGTCACCAAGGCTCTCTCTCTCACCCTAAATACACATCGCCAAACAAAGATGCAGACTCACACAACTACAAAAGTACACACCTGGTCACACACACACACACACATACACAGAGTCACAAAGTCTCTCTCACACACAGACAGATACCGAGCAATACACAGTCACACACAGAGAAAAACAGACACACACAGTTGCACACAGGCCCCTGGAGATACAGAACAATGGGCGCATTGTCTGGGCGGGCAGCAGCTGGGGAGGAAGGAGCCGAGTGTGGATGGAGGAGGCCGTGGGGTCTGCTATACCACCCCCACTCACACCCACAGCATCCTACGCCTCTTCCCTCTTCCAGAAGCCGGATTCGGCTGGGACCTGGATTTGCTGAGGGATTCAGCTCCCAGGTGCCCCCTCCCCAGCCTCCTTCGATGTCTGGTGGGAGACGCTTGGGCTCCCCTGTGGACCAGCCTCCCTCTGGGGCTCTGGGGACACGGGATCCTTTAGCCCTGATGCTCCTCTGTCCTCCTGGAATCATCCCGGCGATTTGCCTCTCATCCCCACGGGGCAGCGCCTGGAGATCGGGAGCCTTAGCATCTGCTCCTAACCTCGGACTCCAACTCCTCCAGGACTCACACACCCTCCATCTGAGCCCTGCCAGCCGGTGCGGGCCGTGCCTGGCAGCATTGTGGGCTCCCTATTGTGGCCGAGACAGAGACGTGGGTCACAACGTCCATCTCTTAGTGGCAGTGGGTAGAGAAGTCACCGTCCTGTCAGTGAGTTGCAGTGGGGCATGATGTCCCTTCCTCTCCCCAAAGCTAGCTCTTCTCGCCTCCCACGCTAACCAGGCAGCCCCAGATCTCAACAGAGACTCCTTCCAGGACTTTCCTTACAGCCCCCAGCCCCTTTTTGCAGGTCTCTCCAAACTCTTAGCCTCAGCTACTGGTATCTTCGTCACTTTCCCTTTCCGAACCTCAGTGTCCTAGTCTGTAAAATGGGGGGTGCTAATGAAGCCGAGAGTATTCTGTAGTCTCAGAGTGGGGGTGGGGATGGAGGCTACAGGAGTGAGTTAGTATGTAGAAGCCACCTCAGCCCGCCCCGCTCCTCTGTTGTCAGATCTGTAGGAGTTCCTGATTTCTCAGTCCCTGGGGTGTCTCCACACCGCACAGCCTCAGGCCTCCCAGGAGGCCATACTTGTAGGAGGGAGGGAGCAAGGGAGGGACGTGCTGAGCTGTCCCGGACACAGCCTTGCTTTTGCAACACTTTGCTTCCTCCAGCCCCCATCCCCTTCCTCCTGGGGGCCGAGGGCAGGCAGCCAGACACACAACCGGGGCCAGCCAGGACTCTGGGATTCCCCCTGGCCTGGGCTAGGGGGAGTGGCAGGAGACTCCAGCTGGAGACTCTCCAGCCTCCTCCCCCCTGCCCCTGTCCCCGGGCTCCCCTACTCAGGCGGGGCTGACGGCTGGACTGGGCAGCTTGGGGGCTGTCCTGAAGGGGCCATCCAAGGCTCCTCCTCCTCAGGAACTGGAGTGTTTTAAGGGTTGTTGAGCGCCCCCCCTTCGGGGAGCCCTGAGGTAGGGGAGCAGATGTGAAGGGAGAGCACCGAAGTCAGACAGGTTATGTCCAGGTCTCTGAGCCTCAGGCTCCTCGGCTTTCAAATGGGGTTGGAGATGCCCCTCAAGATCACGGCACCACCCCAGATGGGACTTCGTCATGGTCCAGGCTGAGAGCAGGAGGGACCAAAGGTGAGCTTATCTATGGGGGCTTAGTGTGACGGGCCACCAAGAGACTAAGAGGAGGGATGAGGCACAACCTCACCAGTCTGACCAGAGTGACCCTGCGGTGGGTCAAACCTCCCAAGCTGCCCTGGACAGGCAGGCACGTGGGCGGGACCTCGGACCGGTCTCCCGGCGTGAGGGGGCACAAAACCCAGCTGGGGCCCTGCGACTTCCATGACCATATTCTCTGGAGCATAATAACTCGGGACCAGCCGGCTGACGAGTCTGGGCATGTGAGCCCTTCGAAGAGTTCTAGGGGGAGACTGACAGGGGCTGCCAATGCGGGACCAAGGCGATGGGGGCCACTCCAGGAGCTGGGGCGTCCACCTGAGAGGTGGGCGGTGAGAGGAAGGGACGACTGCTCTGTCCTCTTTCCTCTAGGGGCCCCCCTCCACCCAGCTCGCCTCTGGGCTCGTCTCAGGCACCCGCCCCTCCCCTTCCCACCCTGGACCCCACCTGCCCCCGGTAGCCGTGCGGGTTGGGGAGACCAGACCGCCAGCGTCACCCACCGCTCAAGTGGGGCCCGCGACTTGAGCCCGCCTCCGCCCCTCGATTGGGCGCTCATTTAAATGTCCGGCCCCGCCCCGAGCTCCGGGCGCATATATATAGGCGGCTCGGCGGGCGGCGGGCGGCATTCTGGCGCGGAGCGGAGCGGCGGCGGGTGTAGCTAGCGGGTCCGGCGCGGAGCGGGGGTGCAGCTAGGTTTCCCCCCGATACCCCTCCCCCTCAGGCGCGAGCCCCACCCCTCCGCCGGCCAGGCCCACCCGACCGAACTATCCCCTGCGGCGCGAGCCCGGGGCGGCTCCGGGCGCCCCCCAGCAGAACCCCCACCATGGGCAGCCAGAGCTCCAAGGCTCCCCGGGGCGACGTGACCGCCGAGGAGGCAGCAGGCGCTTCCCCCGCTAAGGTCAACGGACAGGTGGGTGCGCTCGGCACGGCCCGACTCGTCCCCCTCCTCTCGTACCTCGCCCCCTCTAGGGCCTCGGGCCGGGGCCGCGCGCTTTGTCCGGCCCGGGACACGCGGCGCCCCCTCCCCCGCCCGGTCCCTTTGTTCTCGGCGCCGCAGCCCCCGCGGGCGAAGCAAGGGGAGGGGCGGGGAGGGGGCGCCGGCCGGGCCCCGGCGCCTTCTTTGTTCGCGGCCTCGGCCCCCGGCGCTGCCCCCTGGCCGTCCGGAGTGCCGCGCGGGGAACAAAGGCGCTGCTGGGCCGCGCCAAGGGGGCGCCCGGGGGCCGCGGGGCGGGGGCCGGAGGGGAGGGCAGTCCCCCCGCAGCCTCGACCTCGATAGCCCACGGCTTTTTTTAGGGAGGAGCCGCGAGGTGGGGAGAGCCTGAGGTGGGTGGGGGCCGTTTACACAAAGCAGGAGGCTGGGAAAATAGGCCGTCCAGGTGTGGGGAACAGCGCCCCGGGGCGGCTTCCCGCCCAATATCGGCTGCACGGCTCACCCGCCAGCCCGGGATCCGCGGCCGCGGGCGGCCCTGCGCGGAATAGAGAGCGCGCCCCGGAGGAGGTGGGTGGGGGCCCCGGGACCCCAGCGCCTCCTGTCGGCCGCGGCCCCTGCGCGCCTGTGCGGGGCAGGAGGGAGAGGTTTGACGGGATGCCGGCTGTGGGGTGAGGTTACAACCAGGCTCTGGGGGTGCGGCGGAATGAGTCGGGACCCCGTTGCGTGGAAGAGGTCAGAGGCGGGCTGGGGGAGGGGAATAAGAGCCCCGGCCCTCATTGCTGTCTCCTCTGCCCTGCAGGAGAACGGCCACGTGAAAAGCAATGGAGACTTATCCCCCAAAGGTGAAGGGGAGTCGACCCCCGTGAATGGAACAGAGGAGGCAGCCGGGGCCACTGGTGATGCCATCGAGCCGGCACCCCCTAGCCAGGGCGCTGAGGCCAAGGGGGAGGTCCCCCCCAAGGAGACCCCCAAGAAGAAGAAGAAATTCTCTTTCAAGAAGCCTTTCAAATTGAGTGGCCTGTCCTTCAAGAGAAATCGGAAGGAGGGAGGGGGTGATTCGTCTGCCTCCTCACCCACAGAGGAAGAGCAGGAGCAGGGGGAGATCGGTGCCTGCAGCGAGGAAGGCACTGCCCTGGAAGGGAAGGATGCCGCCACCCCTGAGAGCCAGGAGCCCCAGGCCAAAGGGGCAGAGGCTAGCGCTGCCTCCAAGGGAGGAGACACAGAAGAGGCAGGGCCCCAGGCCGCAGAGCCATCCACTCCCTCGGGGCCGGAGAGTGGCCCTACACCAGCGAGCGAGCAGAATGAGTAGCTGGGTGGGGGCAGGTGGGTGATCTCTAAGCTGCAAAAACTGTGCTGTCCTTGTGAGGTCACTGCCTGGACCTGGTGCCCTGGCTGCCTTCCTGTGCCCAGAAAGGAAGGGGCTGTTGCCCCCTAGCCACGTTCCCTCTCCTCCTCTCCCTCCTGTGGATTCTCCCATCATCCATCTGGTCATCCTCTTAAGGCCAGTCGAAGATGGTCCCTTGCAGTTTCCCAAGTTAGGTTAGTGATGTGAAATGCTCCTGCCCCTGTCCCTGCCTCCTTCCCTGTCCCCACCTGTGCAGAAGGCAGTTGCTGGTTTTCTTCCCCAATTCTTTTCCAAGTAGGCTTTGTTTACTCCCCAAATCCCTGAGCCAGAGGTGGGGGTGCCTACTCCCACGCCCTGAGTGTCCACCTTCCCCTGTTGTTTGTAGTCTCCAGTGCTGGGCCTAGTGGCCCCTGGGCGGGGGAGGACACTGCCCCTGTCTAGGTTTTTCTAAATGTCTTACTCAAGTTCGAACCTCCAGCTTGTGAATCAACTGTGTCTCTTTTTTGACTTGGTAAGCAAGTATTAAGCTTTGGGGTGGGGGGGAGGTATGTAATGTGAAACAACTTCTTGTTGTCTTTTTTTTTTTCCCCTCCCATTGTTGTAAATAACTTTTAATGGCCAAACCCCAGATTTGTAATTTTTTTTTTTTTTCTAACTGCTAAAACCATTCTCTTCCACCTGGTTTTACTGTAACATTTGGAAAAGGAATAAATGTCGTCCCTTTAGTGGTGCTTTTTAATGAGTGGTCTTCTGGGGTAGGGTGAGAAGACTGGTCTACCTCAAACCTTGAGGGGGGACTGAGACAGGTAAGTTTGTGGGGTTCTTTTGTTTTTGAGGGGTTGCCCAGATCCTCATGGACACCAGAAGGGCAGGGAAGTGAAGTCGAAATGAACCCAGGGATACTACTAGGAGACAAGCTCAGGAGGGTGTAGAAATGTACCATTTTATTACAAAGATTCTCACAAAAATGAAAATAGTATCTCAAAAAGGAAACTAGACTACCCGTCTCCATCTGCAGAATTGGGGGAGGACAGAGAGGGCAGGCGGTGTGAGTTTCTTGGCTCACTGGGGGCCAGTGGGAAGGTATGAGAACAGAATCAATCTAAAAATGGCTGATGACAAGAGCCTGAGAACAACAGGGAGTCCCTGAAGACCCAGCCACCCCTTCTAAAATGCTCAATAAGGGCACCTTTTCAAAGCAGGCACTTCAAGATTTTGTCCTATGGCTGCTTTAAGTGTATCCCTTCCACCCAGACCTGGCATCCGTTATGGTTCAAAATTAAGAGTTCGGGAGGGATGGGTGGCAAGGCAGCTACTAGAAAAGCTCACCTAACACGTGTGCCCTGAGCTCAGGGCCGTGGTTCCTGTCTAGTCCCTGGGGATATTTATATTTAATATATTTTTATATAAATACACAGAGAAATAGAAAATATAAAATCTGAGAGGTTGTGGGATAAAGGTGGGGAACTTGGCAAGAAGCCAGAACTGAAGAGGTCTGTTCAGGCCAACTTGACCTCCTCCTTGACCCTGTGGAGAGAGCAGAGATTGGCATGAGATAACCCACCCTAGAGGCTTTAAGGCAAAAGTGGGTACAATGACTTCCACAGGACCCCGGCTGCCCAGGTGACTGCTAAAGGCTGGGGCTTCCTAGCTCTGCCTAGAACTGCAGAGACAGACAGACTGGTCCCTGAAAGAGGCCTTTGTAAGCTGGACCAGCTGTCCCTGCGCCTTCCCTCTCAGCGTGGTGGGACAAAGGGGCTGGTGCTCCAATGACAGGGAGATGATAGACAGCTCCTTCCTCACCCTTTGGCTTCTTGCTTCTCCTCCTTGGTTTTCTCCTCTTCTGTGACTTCTAGAACATAAGAGTGCAGGGATGGCCAAGGGCAGCCCCTCTGGAAAGACCCATGGGATCTCCACTTTGAAACCCCTTCCCCAACACTACAGCTCACTGGACATACAAAAGAGAGAAAAGCCCATCCCAGGCCCTCCCAGCGAGCCCTGCAGAGGACAAACAGGTTGGACCGGTTTCCCAGCCTGCTAGAGCCTGAACCCGGTGGGTGGAGGCAGCCCCCTGGGAAACTGGGGTGAAGCACTGAGAAAAGGTCTTGGGTGGTATGTGAGAGCCATGCTCCCGACCACGGGGAGCCCAGGCATGTCCCTGGCTCTGGAGCCTGGCAGGGCTCAATCAGCCAGTGAAGATGACGAATTGAGTTTCATTCTTTTGTGGGCCCTGCCACTTCTGGGAACCAGTGAAAGGCCCAAGTAGCTAAGGAAGAGCCCTAAGGAGCTGGCAGGGCCTGAGTCAGCTCCCTCCTCCCAGTGCCCTACATAAATTCCTCCTCCAGGGCCTGGGGCTCAAGATCCAAGTCCTGGCCCAACCCAAACCCACCTTTCTTCTCTTCTGGGTCTTTCTCTTTCTCATCTTCTGTTTTGACTCTCTTGGCTTTTTTGAAGTTGGAAGAGTTCTTGCGACCGCCTTCTCCCTCCTCGTCAGAGTCGGAGAACTCTTCCTCACAGGCAATTCGTTTGTCCGAGGAACAGACTGGGAAGTATTGGAAAATATGGGTGGGAGAGCAGATTCTTTATCTCAGGGTCTGCCCAGCGCTTTCTTGCATGTTCCCCCAAAGGACACCAAGGGAAGGGGACCTGGACCCTCTAAATTATCCCTACAGGCACAGGTACTTGGGTTTCTCAACAGGTGGGCAGCTTGGGGAGAATGTGGAGCCAGGAACAGTGGAGGGAAGTCAGAACTGCCTGCAGAGTAGGAAGGTAGAGGCCCCTGGGTCTCGGTCTTACTTGAAATGCGCTTGTCAGGGTCTTCTTCATCCTCATCGCCACTCTCCTCTGGAATGGCATCCTCAGGAATGGCCTGCATTTGGACCCCAGGCGCGTGGGGCAGCATTCTCAGGTTCTCAAACAGTCGCTGTCTATGGCCAATGGTAGAGAGGTGGCTGGGCTCTGGTCAGGGACCAACCAGAGCCTGGAATGTTCAATTAGGGGTGTGGGGGAGGATATACTCACTTGATCTTTTCCAGGTACTCATTAGTGTTCTGGTTAGTCATATTGGAAGGACTGATATGAAGTTTGAAATCTGGTCCAAAGTATTCGAAGTAGTCATTGTATGGAAGCTCTAATTGGGGCAGAGGGTGAGAGAGTTAAGAGACCTGGCCACCATGGGACCCTGAGAAAAGCATCTGTAGGTTTATCTGGACCTGTGAGCCCAACTATCAAACAGAGAAGCATGCCTCCAAGATAGGGTGAGGCTTGGGTACCTATAGGATTTCAATTTTTTTTAAAGCCATTCTCCAGTGTCCACACCAGTGGTGTGTTTGTGTGCATACACGTGTGTGTGTTTGTGTGTGTGTGTGTATGGAGCAGGCTGAAGCCCCTGGTTTAGAAAAATTTAGGCAATATTCATTGCGAGCACTCCCTCAGTCACTACCCCAGTTACCCTACAGAGTATGAATTCCAAAGCTATAGATAAGCACTGATAATTTTGTCCAGACCAGCAGCTGAGGGACAGGGGACAGGGTCAACTAAAGGACTCAGAAAAAAACTGACAGCTACAGTCTGAAAACCACAAGAGGATAGCAGGAGAATCAGACTCTGAAGAGGAGAGGTTGTAGAGCCAATGGGAAAGGGGCACGTGAGCTCCTGCGCTGCCCAGCCCAATCTGGCCCTGCAGCTATTACCATTAGGGATCTCTGTGTCCAGGGCCACAGCTGTTTCGTATGTCCAGCACCGGGCGACATTACGAATGGTGTAGCCACCTCCTCCCAGCATCAGCATAGGCAGGTTGAAGCTCTTCACAAATTCCACACACTTGGCGTGCCCTTTGGTGGGAGAAGGTGTGCCAAGTTGCAGGAGCACCCAGCAGGACCCTGCCCTCCCGTCTCTATGCTACCTGGCCTCACCTTTGATGGTCAAATTGAAGCAACCTAACCGATCACCAGACAAGGAGTCAGAGCCACACTGTAAGACGACTGCACTGGGCTGGAACATCTCCATTACTTTGGACATGACCTGAAAGGACACAACCTGGTCACTACCAGCCTCAAGAAAAGCTATTTGAGGTTCAGGCTGAAAAGTGTGGGTGCAGCACTTTCTTCGGTTCCTTATCACTCACTCCTACCTTCCACTCTCCCTCAGAGAAAAGGGAGTACAAGCCTGGGCTTCTCATTTCCCCAATTTGTTCAGTTTTCCAATTTGAGAGGATCTCCAAGAGCCTTCTAGCTCTAATAAGGAGCCTAAAACAACCTCCTTATCAATTCCCTAGATCTTTCCCTTCTTTCGTTGCTCCAAGAAGCCCTTCTGATGCAGCCCTTAGCTGCATCTGCTCTACGCATCTGGTCCTACAGACTTTGAGCCTTATACTGTGAGGAGGCACTTCACTTTTTATCTCATTCTCACTAGATTCTAATGTAACTGAGGACAGAGACCATAACTTAGGCTTTTCTGTTGCCCTTACTACAAGGTACATAGTAGGCACCTGGTGTTTGCTAAACGACTACCTAGCCTAACCTAACTAGGTTACTACTCTAGTAATGGTTCCTTATTGCTTACAGGTGAAGATTTAACTCCTCAGCATGGCATTCAAGGCTCCCTTTGAAATACTGACCCCACAAACATTTCCCACCACATCCTTCAACACTCCTCCCCCACATCATACTGGCCTACATACCACGTATTGGCACCTCTATGCTTCTGCTGGTGCTGTTCCCTCTGCTGAATGCCACCCCTCCCCTCCAGCCTCCGCCTCCTTCACATGGGTAACTCCTCATTTCTCAAAGTCCAGCTCAAATGTCACTACCTCTGTGAAATCATCTCTGACTACGCTTTCCCCAGCCCATGTTCATCCCTCAAAAACAGCACTGACCACATGCTGTCAGGGATGTGCTTGCCTCCCACACCACAGACTGTGAGGTCTTCAAGGGCATGGATCATGTCTTAGCTATTCTTGTATCCAGCAGAGGGCCTGACCCACAGAAGGCATCAGTAAGTATCTGGATGAATTTTGTTCCCCTAACTGGCCATACAGCATGCAATCCAGGGTTCAAACACATCTCATTTCCAGCCAGCCTCTCAGTGGGGAGAGATCCCGAAGTACACTGGAGGTGTTTTGCTACCCCTCCCTTAGATCAATCCTGTTTATAGCCCAGTGGTGGATAAGCCTAAGCCACTTACCGGCTTGAAAATGGCTTCATAGGACTCGTCATCAATCCCATCTCGGAGCGGGTAGTTAACAGCATAATACTTGCCTTTGCCAGCCCCAATATCCTAATCAAGAAGCACATTAAAGTAAAACTGAAAGATGATGAAGCTAGGAGGAAGTTCAAGGATGAGGGCTGGAAGGCTAAGGAAAGAAGCAGTGGTTCTAAGAGAGATAAGCTGGGCCCATGAGGTGGGCCAGGGACAGAGCAGGTTAGCACCATTCCCCTCACTGGTGGAACAAGTCTAGCTCACGTCTCTGGACACACCACTGAGTCTGCATCCAGGCTGAGAATCATTTATGGAACCAGAGACTGAATATCCTACCACACAGCATGAGACCTCTCCCCCTGGACTGGGTTAAAGGTGGCTGGGGGCTGGACCATAGAAATAACACCCACCCCACAACAACCCTTTCCTTTCCAGAGCGCTCTACTGCTCACTCCTCTACCCACCACTCTCCTCTCTAGGGAGGTGTGGAAGGAAAGCAGAAACGGAAGAATTCTTCAAAATTGTAAAGGCTCAGTTATTATAATGCTTGCCACGGCAAACAACTGAATTAGTGCCACTTTTTCACCCAAGGGCCACTGGCATGGCAAAATGGCTGGTTTCATTGTAGTCATGCTCTCACAAAGCAGAACAGTTTAATGAATCAGCTTCCAGGGATTCTTATCCTGAGGTCCCTGGATGGGCTTCAGTAGGAGGAGGCGTCTATTAACTATTTGATAACAAATGTAAAATTTCATGTACTTATGGGGAGAGAGTACATAGCTTTCAGTCAGATGGTCAAAGGGGAGGGTAACCTAAAAACATTAAGAACCCTTGAGATGGTCCATAAAGGTCCCAATTCCTAGCCCATGGGAGAGAACGTGATGTTTCTAGCCTAAAATTCAAGCTGTCTGGGACATGTGAATAGTGTAATGCAACTCAGCTGTGGCCAGGAGGGAAGTGCAATAGTCAGGAGACCCCCATCCCTTCCAACCCTTTATGTACCATCATTCCCTTCCTCCAGAATAAGAGAGGGAAAGAGACCATGGCAGGTGTCCCAGGCTGGGGTGTGGTATTCTGAATGGCAGAAGACGCAGGAAGTGGTTTTTGGTGACATGAGATAGGAGAGTTAAGAGCTGGCAGCTGAGGGTGAGCTGGTTGGCCCCTGAAGGGAGTTCTCACCCGTAGGTCCCCAGTTCCTGGGAAGTACTCTCCATATTTATGAAAGGACACAGTCATGACTCGGTCTGTGGTATAGAAGGCCTCTTCCACGCCATCGCCGTGGTGAATATCAATGTCAATATACAGCACCCTCTGGTGATACCTAGGATCAGAAGGGGGTCAGGGGGTTCTGGGGGCTCTTTGGGAGTGGGACGCGCCAAGGGCGCCAGGTCCCAGCTTACCGGGCTGGCTGCCTCCCTCAGGTATCTCTAAGCACCAGAGACGCGGAAACTGGCTGAAGGAAGGTGGAAGAGCGGCAGGGTGTCTCCAGAGGCCTGACCAAGCCGATCAAGTCCGATCTTCCTACTCTACAGCCAGGGTCAACTCCAGCCACACAGGGACACTCTGGAGGCAGGATCTGAGCAGCGCCTGCCCCTGATCTTGCCGTGGGCTCAGATCAAATCAAGACCCCGTCAAGGAGAGGATGGCCAGAGACACTCACCGAACACATCCTAGCCAGCACACTGCTAGGAAAAGCAAACTAGGGAGGCAAGCCCGGGGGAGGGGGAAATGGGAACCTGGCCTAAGGTGCTCCTCCAAGAGACAAGGCCAGGAAGGCATACTTTAGCAGTTCCAGGATGGCCAAGACGATATCATTGACGTAACAGAAGCCAGATGCCTCGGACTTCTTTGCATGGTGTAGGCCCCCAGCCCAATTCACAGCGATGTCCGTCTGCTGCTTATTAAGTTTCACGGCACTTGCTGGACGTGGGAAGAAAGAACACAAGCCTGTTATCAAGCCACTCTCTCCCTTTCCCCCAAGAAGCCAAGGGAACCCAGTGAGAGGTAGGACCTGCCTATTCAACAGCTGTATTGTACAATTCACAAGCCAGTCCTCTCCCCCGACCCTATTCCAACAGGAATAAACATGACATTGGCTACTCTAAAAAAACTGTTTTCCAAACTGAAGGTGGTAACTCACTAGTAGGCCTTAAAATTGGTTTAGTGGGTTATGATTAGTATATATATTTTTAAATGAGACAGACTAGAATAAAAATATCAGAATAATTAGTAAAGGTAACCACTGTTTTGTGAAACTGGCTTCAGAGTGAGAGAGGGTGTTGTGCACGTGCATGCATAACCTGGATTGCAAGTGTAAATACTTCTAAATGTGGTTCATGGTCAAAACATTTTGAAGAGGGGCTTCCCTGGTGGCGCAGTGGTTAAGAGTCCGCCTGCCGATGCAGGGGACACAGGTTCGTGCCCCAGTCCAGGAAGATCCCACATGCCGCGAAGCGGCTGGGCCCGTGAGCCATGGCCGCTGAGCCTGCGCGTCCGGAGCCTGTGCTCCACAATGGGAGAGGCCACAGCAGTGAGAGGCCCGCATACCCCCCAAAAAAAAAACAAACAAACAAAAACACAGAGGGAATTCCCTGGCGGTCCAGTGGTTAGGACTCCACGCTTCCACTGCCGGGGACCGGGGTTCAAGCCCTGGTCAGGGAACTAAGATCCCCCAAGCCACATGGAGTGGCCAAAAATAAATAAATTAAAAAATTAAATAAATAAAAAGATTTACTGAGTAAAAAATGTAGGCACAAAACTATACATATATATGACACATTTTTTGTAAAATACAGATGTATATATGTTATGTCCAGATATATGCACACAGAAAAAAGCATGGATGTACAAACACCAAAATGGTAACGATGGTTATCTGTGGACAGTGTGATTGTAGTCAGTTTTTTTCCCTGTGCACTTCTTTGTTTTCTGAGATTATATTAGGAGGTGGTAGCGAGGGGGGAGGAGAAAAAACAATGATCATAGAAAAATAAACATTTGTTAAAAAAGGGTAGAGTGGGACTTCCCTGGTGGTCCAGTGGGTAAGACTCCACGCTCCCAATGCAGGGGGCCCAGGTTCGATCCCCTGTTGGGGAACTAGATCTCGCATGCATGCCGTAACTAAAGACCCCGCACGCTGCAACTAAGACCCAGTGCAGCCAAAATTAATTAATTTAAAAAAAAACAAAAACAAAAACTTCCTAAATTTTAAAAGAAAAAAAAAAAGAAAGCGTAGAGTGGTCCTGGAGGTAATCTAGACATTGCAAATGGAAGTGGGAGATGTGTGGGGAGTATTTCTGACCTCAACCTCAAGGTAATCACCATATACTCCTTTGTAAGACAGATGACACTTCCCATTTTTATAGCGCTGTGCAGTTCACAAGTTGCTTTTATGTACAGCGTCTCAACAAGCCCATGAGGTCTGCAGAGAGTTCCTGTATATAGGATGTCTTGGTAGGAGAGGACAGCCAAGGACACCTCTCTGTACCATGTCAGATTGAACCTGGGCTGGGACTAAACCAGGACATTTTCAAGACCTAAGGTAAAAACTCACAGGACCATTTTACATGGTCACAGGTCAGCCTCACTGGGATAGTGGCCTAAAAGACAGACCTCACTAGTACAACCCAGCACAGCCTTTAAGGAGGGATGTATATTCCTTACCCACAGAGCCACCAGTAGATAGCTGACAGAACTCAAAGAGGCCATCAAATACCGGACAGTCCTCACCAACGTTAACTTGAAAAAACATAGGAAAAGGTTAGTTTCCACAATTTCCTTTAGTTTTTGTTTACATATTTACGAGCTGATGGAAAAAATGCAGAATTTGGATTCAGAAGGCTTGGGTTCTTGTCCAGGCTCTACTACTTACTGGCTGTGTGACTGGGTCCAGTCACTTAACTTTCTTGAGCTTTCGTTCATTATCTATAACTAGCAATAATGACATCCACCTTACCCAATTGTTGAGAAGATTGATAGAAATCTTATATGGGGAAGCATTTAGCAAGTAAATACTTGGAAAATGTTGGTTCACTCCTGAGGGAGAAAAATACAGCCTCTTATTCCAGCCTGGGTTTGTTCCTGGACCTCACTCCAGCTGGCCAACAAGGAAGTGAAGAACAGAGACCTATACTGTCATCCACTGGATGCTTAACAACGTGCCGGACACTATGCTCAGTGCTTTAAGTACCTGGTGTCGTTTATCCTCACACACCTGAGGTAGGGTTTGGTCCTATTTTATAAATGGAGAAACAGGCTCAAAGAGGTAAACTGTCAGTAAATGGCAGAGGCGGTATTCAAGGATTGGTCTGCCTGTCCTAAAAGCCTACGAAAATATACTCTGGCCTCTTCCGCAGTAATTTCACATACACAGTCTCATTTGATCCTAACAACCCCATAAAAGCTGGACGAGACAAATATCAACCCCACTGTGCAGAGGAACAAACAGATGTGGAGAAGTTAAGTGACTCGCCCAGGGTTATATAACCAGACAGTGGTAGAACCAGAGTCCAGGTGTCCTGACTCCCACAGTCCAGTGCTCTTCTACTATACCAAGTGACAACTGGAGGAAAGTTATTTCAGGCCTAAGGGGTAAAAGTACAAACTAACACATAATGTGGAACCACATGCAAACAATAATGCAAATAAAATGAAAAAGACAGGAAGGGAAGCACACCTGAAGGCTGTAGACTCAGAGCTACAGAGGAACCTTATGGCTCCAAGTCTGCTCTCACAGAAAAGGAAACTGCTGAGATGTCAATGATATACAGAAGTTAGAGGCAGGGGTGGGGCTAAATTCTTGTTCTCTTGTCCCAGCCTTCCCATTGCATGCATTATTATCAACAGGGGTTCCCAAAGTAGAGCAAGGAGGAGGAGCCCTAGGATAAGGAGGGTAGGAGAGCCCAGCTTAGACTGTGGTGACCTCTTGAGACACAGCTGAAGCTCAAGGTTTGCAATAACCACAAAAGTTACCACCTCTGGCACTGCCCTAAACTTGGGAGGGTGCTCTGATCTGGTGCCCTGCCAAGCACAGTGCTCCGAGGAAAGGTGGCGTGTGTACGGGGGTAAGCAGTAGGTGGCTCTCTCCCCCACTTCCCAGGTAAACACTGGGAGGCTGTGTCAATAAGAACTTTGGTCCCTGAGGCCAGGCTATTTATTTATCCATCGGCAATTGATTTCCCTCTCGGGCTGCTTCCTCCTTCAGTGGGCTTGGCCTGTCTGGGTTCCCAAAGCTTTGCTGATACTCCTATTTGAGATGTGGAGCTCCCATGACAAGAAATTGGTATTTTAGAAACGAGAAAAAATATATTCCTTCAGGCCCCAAACCAACATGTGGCTCAGATGGCCAGTCCATTATTCCCAGCTCAAGGGAGCTGTGTGATTACAGATGGAAAAGGGGTAAAATGGGAGAGCAGACCCTCACTTGGGACTAATCTGTGAGACTAGGGAGGACTTTTCTATGGGTTTTCCCTCTTCCCACTATAAATACTTCTCTCATTGTTAGGCTGGCTTTAGACTGACGGGGAGCAATACTGGGTGAGAGATGGGGGAGCAGACGTAGGTCAAGAAGGCACTAAAAAGCATATACTGCAGAAAGAGACACATGGGATTAAACACTGACTTCAGGATAGTGCTTACACCCTGGCGGTGGTGGGAATGGGGTGGAGAGGGGAGCAGAAGAGGAAGGGCATGTGATCAAAGAGAGGTGCCCAGGAGGGCTTCAACTGTACTGGCAATGTTTTCTTTCTTAGGCTGGTTGTAGGGACATGTTTGATCATTGTATAATTTTTTATAGTTTTGTGTGTGTGTCTGAAATATTTTATGTGCAACATATTTTAAAATAGTCCAGAATCAGGAAACCAGAGTTCCATTCTCCATTCTACCACTATCTTGCTGTGTGACCCTGGGAAAGTCATCTCACCTCCCTGGGTTTCAGTTTATACATCTACAAAATGGACAAGAATGCCTCCAAATTTTACCAGCACAAGTCCCTTTTATCACGTTTCTACCATAAGCCTCATGATTTGATAGACTATCTGCCAAAAATAAAAATTGCATTTATTTATGTTCCCATTTTTAATTATTAAAAATTATGTCAGAACTTCTGCTTAAGATTCTCAAATTCTCAAAGTGACCATAAAGCATTTAAATTACATCCTAGCAAGAGCAAGGAAACCAGGCTTATTTGGTCTTACTACATGTATTAACTTCCTAGGTTAGGTGTTGGTAAATACTGAAAAAAACTCAGCTCTTCATCCCTGTTATTGTCCCTGTAGACACCCCTGGTTATAAAGCACTGCACTAGTGACATCTTTCTGAATCAAGTCAGTAAGGTGCCTTGAAGTACTTAGAGAATCTCATCCTTTTTTTTTTAAATTTTTTAATTTAATTTAATTTTTTTATACAGCAGGTTGTTATCAGTTATCTATATTATACATATTAGCGTATATATGTCAATCCCAATCTTCCAATTCGTCCCACCACCACCACTCCCCCGTGCCACTTTCCCCCCTTGGTGTCTATACGTTTGTTCTCTACATCTGTGTCTCTATTTCTGCCCTACAAACCAGTTCATCTGTACCATTTTTTTAGGTTCCACATATATGCGTTAATATACGATATTTGTTTTTCTTTCTGACTTACTTCACTCTGTATGACAGTCTCTAGATCCATCCACGTCTCTACAAATGACCCAATTTCATTCCTTTTTATGGCTGAGTAATATTCCATTGTATGTATGTACCACATCTTCTTTATCCATTCGTCTGTCGATGGGCATTTAGGTTGCTTCCATGACCTGGCTATTGCAAATAGTTCTGCAATGAACATTGGGGTGCATGTGTTTTTCTGAATTATGGTTTTCTCTGGGTATATGCCCAGTAATGGGATCGCTGGGCCATCTGGTAATTCTGGTAATTCTAGAATTCTAGAAATCTGGTAATTCTATTTTTAGTTTTTTAAGGAACCTCCATACTGTTCTTCATAGTGGCTGTATCAATTTACATTCCCACCAACAGTGCAAGAGGGTTCCCTTTTCTCCACACCCTCTCCAGCATTTGTTGTTTATAGATTTTCTGACGATGCCCATTCTAACCGGTGTGAGGTTAGAATTGTAGTTTTTACAATTTTACAAAACTACTCATTGTAGTTTTTATTTGCATTTCTCTAATAATTAGTGATGTTGAGCAACTTTTCATGTGCTTCTTCTCTCTTCTTTGGGGAAGTGTCTATTTAGGTCTTCTGCCCATTTTTGGATTGAGTTGTTTGTTTTTTTAATATTGAGCTGCATAAGCTGTTTATATATTTTGGAGATTAATCCTTTGTCCTTTGATTTGTTTACGTATGGTGTTAGGGAGTATTCCAGTTTCATTCTTTTACATGTAGCTGTCCAGTTTTCCCAGCACCACTTATTGAAGAGACTCTCTTTTCTCCATTGTATGTTCTTGCCTCCTTTGCTATAGATGAGTTGACCATAGGTGCATGGGTTTACCTCTGGGCTTTCTATCCTGTTCCATTAATCCATATTTCTGTTCTTGTGCCAGTACCATATTGTCTTGATTACTGTAGCTTTGAGGTATAGTCTGAAGTCAGGGAGTCTAATTCCTCTAGCTCCGTTTTTTTCCCTCAAGACTGCTTTGGCTATTCAGGGTCTTTTGTGGCTCCATACAAATTTTAAGATTTTATGTTCTAGTTCTGTAAAAAATGCCACTGGTAATTTGATAGGGATTGCATTGAATCTGCAGGTTGATTTGGGTAGTATAGTCATCTTCACAATATTGATTCGTCCAATCCAAGAACATAGTATATCTCTCCATCTGTTTGTGTCATCTTTGATTTCTTTCATCAGTATCTTACAGTTTTCTGTGTACAGGTCTTTTGTCTCCCTAGGTAGGTTTATTCCTAGGTATTTTATTCTTTTTGTTGCGGTGGTAAATGGGAGTGGTTCCTTAATTTCTCTTTCAGATTTTTCATCATTAGTGTATAGGAATGCAAGAGATTTCTGTGCATTAATTTTGTATCCTGCAGCTTTGCCAAATTCATTGATTAGCTCTAGTAGTTTTCTGGTGGCATGTTTAGGATTCTCTATGTATAGTATCACGTCATCTGCAAACAGTGACAGTTTTACTTCTTCTTTTCCAATTTGTATTCCTTTTATTTCTATTTCTTCTCTGATTGCCGTGGCTAGGACTTCCAAAACTATGTTGAATAATAGTGGCGAGAGTGGACATCCTTGTCCTTTTCCTGATCTTAGAGGAAATGCTTTCAGTTTTTCACGATTGAGAATGATGTTTACTGTGGGTTTGTCGTATATGGCCTTTTTTATGTTGAGGTAGGTTCCCTCTATGCCCACTTTCTGGAGAGTTTTTATCATAAATGGGTGTTGAAATTTGTCGAAAGCTTTTTCTACATCTATTGAGGTGATAATATGGTTTTTCTTCTTCAATTTGTTAATGTGGTGCATCACATTGGTTAATTTGCATACATTGAAGAATCCTTGCATCCCTGGGATAAATCCCACTTGATCATGGTGTATGATCCTTTTAATCTGTTGTTGGATTCTGTTTGCTAGTATTTTGTTTAGGATTTTTGCATCTATTTTCAACAGTGATATTGGTCTGTAATTTTCTTTTTTTGTACTATCTTTGTCTGGTTTTGGTATCAGGGTGATGGTGGCCTCATAGAATGAGTTTGGGAGTGTTCCTTCCTCTGCAATTTTTTGGAAGAGTTTGAGAAGGATGGGTGTTAGCTCTTCTCTAAATGTTTGACAGAATTCACCTGTGAAGCCATCTGGTCCTGGACTTTTGTTTGTTGGAAGACTTTTAATCACAGTTTCAATTTCATTACTTGTGATTGGTCTGTTCATATTTTCTGTTTCTTCCTGGTTCAGTCTTGGAAGGTTATACCTTTCTAAGAATTTGTCTGTTTCTTCCAAGTTGTCCATTTTATTGTCATAGAGTTGCTTGTAGTACTGTCTTAGGTTGCTTTGTATTTCTGCAGTGTCTGTTGTAACTTCTCCTTTTTTATTTCTAATTTTATTGATATGAGTCCTCTCCCTCTTTTTCTTGATGAGTCTGGCTAATGGTCTATCAATTTTGCTTATCTTCTGAAATAACCAGCTTTTAGTTTTATTGATCTTTGCTATTGTTTTCTTTGTTTCTATTTCATTTATTTCTCCTCTTATCTTTATGATTTCTTTCCTTCTGCTAACTGGGTTTTGTTTGTTCTTTTTTCTCTAGTCCTTTTAGGTGTAAGGTTAGATTTTTTATTTGAGATGTTTGCTATCTCTTGAGGTAGGATTGTATTGCTATAAACTTCCCTCTTAGAACTGCTTTTGCTGCATCCCATAGGTTTTGGATCATTGTATTTTCATTGTCATTTGTTTCTAGGCATTTTTTGATTTCCTCTTTGATTTCTTCAGTGATCTCTTGGTATTTAGTAATGTATTGTTTAGCGTCCGTCTGTTTTTGTTTTTTATGTTTTTTTCCCTTAATTGATTTCTAATCTCATAGCGTTGTGGTTAGAAAAGATGCTTGATATGATCTCAATTTTCTTACATTTACTGAGACTCGATTTGTGACCCAAGATGTGATCAATCCTGGAGAATGTTCCATGTGCACTTGAGAAGAAAGTGTAATCTGCTGTTTTTGGATGCAATATCCTATAAATATCAATTAAATCTATCTGGTCTATTGTGTCATTTAAAGCTCTTGTTTCCTTATTAATTTTCTGTTTGGATGATCTGTCCATTGGTGTAAGTGAGGTGTTAAAGTCCCCCACTATTATTGTGTTATTGTCGATTTCCTTTTAGAGCTGTTAGCAGTTGCCTTTTGTATTGAGGTGCTCCTATGTTGGGTGCATATATATTTATAATTGTTATATCTTCTTGGATTGATCCCTTGATCATTATGTAGTGTCCTTCCTTGTCTCTTGTAACATTCTTTATTTTAAAGTCTATCTTATCTGATATGAGTATTGCTCCTCCAGCTGTCTTTTTTTATTATTATTAATTTATTTATTTTAATTTATTTATTTTTGGTTGCGTTGGGTATTCATTGCTGCACGTGGGCTTTCTCTAGTGGCGAGCGGGGGCCACCCTTCGTTTTGGTGCCCAGGCTTCTCATTGCGGTGGCTTCTCTTGTTACAGAGCACAGGCTCCAGGCTCACAGGCTTCAGTGGTTGTGGCACGTGGGCTCAGCAGCTGTGGCTCATGGGCTCTAAGCGCAGGCTCAGTAGTGGTGCACGGGCTTAGTTGCTCTGCAGCACGTAGGATCCTCCCGGGCCAGGGCTCAAACCCGTGTCGCCTGCATTGGCAGGTGGATTCCTAACCACTGTGCCACCAGGGAAGCCCTCCAGCTTTCTTTTGATTTCCATTTGCATGGAATATCTTTTTCCATCCCCTCACTTTTAGTTTGTATGTGTCCCTAGGTCTGAAGTGGGTTTCTTGTAGACAGCATATATATGGGTCTTGTTTTTGTATCCATTCAGCAAGCCTGTTTGTTTTGGTTGGAGCATTTAATCCATTCACGTTTAAGGTAATTATCGATATGTATTTTCCTCTTACCATTTTCTTAATTGTTATGGGTTTTTTTTTTAGGTCCTTTTCTTCTCTTGTGTTTCCCACTTAGAGAAGTTCCTTTAGCATTTGTTGTAGAGCTGGTTTGATGGTGCTGAATTCTCTTAGCTTTTGCTTATCTGTAAAGTTTTTGATTTCTCCATCGAATCTGAATGAGATCCTTGCTGGGTAGAGTAATCTTGGTTGTAGGTTCTTCCTTTTCATCACTTTAAATATATCCTGCCACTCCCTTCTGGCTTGTAGAGTTTCTGCTGAGAAATCAGCTGTTAACCTTATGGGAGTTCCCTTGTATGTCATTTGTCATTTTCCCTTGCTGCTTTCAGTAATTTTTCTTTGTCTTTAATTTTTGTCAATTTGATTACTATGTGTTTCAACGTGTTTCTCCTTGGGTTTATCCTGCCTGGGTTTATCCTGCGCTTCGTGGACTTGGGTGGCTATTTCCTTTCCCATGTTAGGGAAGTTTTCTACTATAATCTCTTCAAATATTTTCTTGGGTCCTTTCCCTCTCTCTTCTCCTTCTAGGACCCCTGTAATGCGAATGTTGTTGCATTTAATGTTGTCCCAGCTGTCTTCATTTCTTTTCATTCTTTTTTCTTTATTCTGTTCTGCAGCAGTGAATTCCACCATTCTGTCTTCCAGGTCATTTATCCATTCTTCTGCCTCAGTTATTCTGCTATTGATTCCTTCTAGTATATTTTTCATTTCAGTTATTGTATTGTTCATCTCTGTTTGTTTGTTCTTTAATTCTTCTAGGTCTTTGTTAAACATTTCTTGC